CTTAGATGCACCGCTGACCATGACAATCCTTGACCCTGTGTTTGCTCACATAATACTGGACGAGGTTAAGACTCAATTGGTAGCGATCAGAGCCAAATTGGGGTCGTGGGTGAATGTGTACAAGTGTGTCGTGATAGACTACCAGAACGTAGACGCGTGTAGTATTGAATTTCAGGAGAATGGGTTGCAGCCCATTATTGTATACACTATACAAATCTAACGATTATCAGAGAAAGTGTTTTGCTACATGATAATAAAGAACAAACTGTAAATCAATCTCTTCTGTTATTCCCGGTCGTTCATTTAAGTAATCCCTCTGACGCCTGTGAAGTCAACAGAGGCGAGAACATTTTAGGATGCAGGTCTTGATTCAATTTAGTGGCCAGGGGACTGAATAGAGCATGCGGGCTTCACGGGCTCGCCCTCTAACAAATTGCATTACTCTCTGCGAACGTCAGCTTAGGGTAACATATTGGATTTGTTTTAATTGTAAGGAAAACCTTTACATCTCCCGTCATTGTGTTTATTTTACCTAAATGTGAGTGTATTGATTAACGAAGTGAGTCAGGAGAGTGATGCTGAGGTAGAGGAAGGACTCCTCTCCTACCATGCGCCTCAGTTAGTGATGCTGAGGTAGAGGAAGGACTCCTCTCCTACCATGCGCCTCAGTTAGTGATGCTGATGAATCTATGAGGGATATAGAGTGAGGGAAGGCGTCGTCCCTCACTTAATTCATGTATGAGGGATACTGAGGTGGTCGTTGTGGGGTCGAGTAGTGAAGGGAGGACACCTTCCTCAGTAAGCTTATCCATAATCATCTTCACCAGCTTGGTATGTGTGTGGGACCTCCTTTTACAATCAGTACTCAAGGAAGGGTTGTGGAAGATAACTCAAAGAAGAGTTATGGAAGATATAACCCATTGTGTGAAGTGCAGGTAAGTGTTTGGTATCTCTGATTTTACCGGTATTTGTACTGAAAAAAAAGAACGTCTTTGATAAATATTCTGAGTAATTAGCACTGACTAAAACAAAAATAAAATGATGGAAGAAAACGTGTTTTAGCAACGGTGAACAACGGTGCTGCAGACCGTTGCCAAGCAAAGAGAACACATTGGATTGCACAACCACGTTGTCACAGGAGTCGCGGCAACCCTCCCAAAGGACCCATAAGGTTTCTCAGAATTGGGTTCCAGGCTAATGAAAGAACTAGATGTCTCATTTCAATGCATTAAATTGGCGTTCCAGAGCTGGAGCGCCTGCTTTTTAAAATAAGTTTTTTTATACTTATTAACGGTAATTCTGTCCAATGTAACATAATTCATTCGTTGAATCAAGCACAGTTACAACAAATATAAGGGATTATAAGGGATTTTTATTTTTGCTATGATGTCAATTTTGTGTGTAGTAAAGTTGGTGTTATGTTATATCTGTTCTTTAGTGTATTTTCTGGTTATATAATGATACTCGATAGAGCTCGATAGAGGGGTAAGATAACAGTACACGTGTTGTAGCACTACAGTAGAATGTATCATGATACAGCTACAGTAATGTGAGCCAGACAAGAGCTCCAGTAGAGGGTACCATTAGAGTGCTGAATAAAGCCAACTCAGGGAAGAACTACACTATTATGAGTCACGGCTATATTATATATATATATATATATATATATATATATATATATATATATATATATATATATATATATATATATATATATATATATTAAAAGTCAAACCCTCAGTTTAGTACAACTGCTAATTAGTACCTGAACAAACTGTGTATTTAAGCTGGAAATAAACAATCAAAGACTGTGACTAATAAAGCTATAAATTAGTACCTAAACACTTCGTGTAATTAAGCTGCAAAGTGACACTCGAACACTTTGTCTAGGAAAGGGTGAGAAAACTAGTTAAGCGTGTGAAAATAAAAGCAGTTTAATTATCAACCATAAAGTTGAACGAGCAACAGGTCGTCATTAATGTAGTGGCGCGCTGGCAACACTCTGGCTTTACCTCGACTCTCTGAGCACTACACAGGTGAACCAACGATTGGGCCATGTACTAAATACCCTTAATTAAATCTAATTTAGCGAACACCAAAGTCAAATTGGCATTAGATTGCTGTGAATTAGGAACAATTGAATAATTATGTCAAGTTAAGGATCAGTAATGACCCAGTTAAGCGAACTAGACATCAGGGTAGAGAGATTATCAGGTGATAGAGAGGGAGTTAAAAAGGCACAGAAAGTTGTTATAAATGGAAAACAATGAAGTGGAAAACAATGATAACAGTCACATGAAGAAGCTTTTGAAGCTAATTCAACGCATAATTTTAAATTAAAAAATAATGAGAGAACACTCTCTGACATAAAATACTAATAGTTGACAAGGCGGAGCGCAGGAGCTAGAAGCTGATCCTGCTGGAGTACATTTAGGTAAATACATTTAAAGGAACACACAGAACACATGAACACACACATCGACTTGAGAACACACGAACACACACAGAATTTAAAGGAACACACACATCGACTTGAGAATGGTCCAGGACGGACGGAAACGTCGTCGTCCCTTCACCTTGTAGTGTGTGGTCTGGTTAACAAAGGAACACACACAGATCGTGTGGTATAACTGGGCGTATACAGCAACAGGTTGTGCCCGAGTGTGTGAGTCTCCCTACCAACATTCTCACAACTTTGTGTTCTGCAAGTTGGAAGCTGGATTTAAACATAACTTTAGTTAGAATGAGTGGGAGCCCCGGAGCATCTAACACCAGCGTAGTGTTGTACGAGAGCCTCTGCCAGTGTTAATACTGCTCTATACAACTTGGCTCTGTGAGTGTTAATACTGCTCTATACAACTTGGCTCTGTGAGTGTTAATACTGCTCTATACAACTTGGCTCTGCCAGTGTTAATACTGCTCTATACAACTTGGCTCTGTCAGTGTTAATACTGCTCTGCGCTCCCTGACTCTGGCAGTATTGGGGACACCTGCTAAAGTATTCCTGGCTCTGACTGTCTCAAGGACTACTGCAATACTGTCTTCATGACTTTCCGAGCAATTAATGAGCTTTGAAAATACATTACAGTTAACATGAGTATAATGAACGTTGAAGAACTGTATTAAGATCTTAAGATGAGAGAGAGAGAGAGAGAGAGAGAGAGAGAGAGAGAGAGAGAGAGAGAGAGAGAGAGAGAGAGAGAGAGATAACATGTGTACGCTTCAGCGATATTTCAGTTCTTCAATGAACTTTCAGAGTTCCGAGTGAGCTTTTAGTGGTAGAGAACATTGTTATTGTTCCAAGGAATATGCAGTTATCTGGGATTTTTCAGTGTCCCAGAGATCTCTCAGTGTCCCAGGGATCTCTCAGTGTCCCAGGGATCTCTCAGTATCCCAGAGATCTCTCAGTGTCCCAGAGATCTCTCAGTGTCCCAGAGATCTCCTCGCAGTATCCCAGAGATCTCGCAGTATTCCAGAGATCTCTCAGTATCCCAGAGATCTCGCAGTATCCCAGAGATCTCTCAGTATCCCAGAGATCTCGCAAGATCCCAGAGATCTTTCAGTCTCGCAGGGATCAATTCTAAGCTTTTATGGAGGAATTTCTGTGCTCCTGTGTGGCTTCCGTCCTCACTCCCACACTCCCAAGTCTTTTCAACACCCTGACGTGAGATCTTTCGATTCCCTCACCTCATTCCTGCTGAGTGGGCGAGGGGAGGACGGGGGTTGATGCTGGGAGTGGCGGAGCTTGGGGGCTTGCGGAGACGGGGCTGGAGACTTGCAGAAACGGGGTGGTAGTTTGACTGGACGGGGTTGAATGGTCGTTGGCGAGAAGGACTGTATTCATACCTTTCTCTCACCTTGGGCAACAAATCCACAGTAAGTAAATTGCGAAAGTTTTGCCCACACTTCACGCGGTTTGGTGTAAATATTCCTGGTGGATTTACACAGGCCTGTAATGGAAATATGTTGAGAAGTTACTGAAGTAATGGAAGTTTGTTGAGAATTTACTGAGATAATGGAAATCATTTAAAGAGTTACTGGGCCAAGGTAATTGAGTTAGGGAATTATTGAGATTATGGAAATGAGTTAACTTATTGAGGGTACTGGAAATAATTCAAGATGTGACTGAAGTAGTGGGAATGAGTCAAGAAGTTACTGAGGCAATAGAAAATAGTTAAGAAGTTAATAAGTTAATGGAAATGAGTTTAGAAGTTATTCAGGTAATGTAAATGAGTTAATAAATTAATCAAGTAGCCTTTTAATATAATTTTCCTCTGTCAGAACTCATCTCTTCTCGTGTATGTATATATATATATATATATATATATATATATATATATATATATATATATATATATATATATATATATATATTGATAAATAGTAACATCAGTACTCATTGATGAAAACATCTGCTGGTCCAGGAATCCCATAATATCATTGTT